GGATTCGTCCCGACGAGGTCAGATTTCTGCTTGGGTTGAGCTTTTGAGTTTCGATGTTGTTTTTATGGGTCAAGGAGAAGGGTTTGGAGGTATTTGCTTCCTGCTCGCTCGGCCCTTTGGCGTTTCTCTGCGTTTAACCCTTTGCCAAGCATCTCCCTGTGGATGGGAAAAGCCCTGGGAGGTTGCGAACTGGTTTCGGGATGCGCTCGAAAAGTTTTTTCAGTTGGGTCCTCTCTTAGTTGAAATAAAAAAAAAAAACAACAAACAAAACAACCCACCCCTGAGGAATCCTTGGCTTCAAATTGTTGAGTTATCCTGGGCTTAAAATCAAGAGGAATCCTTGGCTTAACGGCACAGGGATGCGAGCGCTGGCTGCGGCCGCTCTGGCCGGCTGGTTGCCCCGTGGATGCCCACGCCCATCCCATGGCAGCCGGTGGTTTTCCATCCCCGCCTGCACCCCGTGGGGCCCCCCCCCATCTCCTCTTAGTCTCGGCTCAGCACAGCTGTTTGTCATTAAACTCCCTCGTCCCGCTGAAAAATTCGCTTCCGTTTTCTCATCTGCGAGAGGAAACTCTGGAACCCACATCCCGTGGGGGTAGCACCCACTGAGGGAGAGGAGGGGGGGGGCAGACGCAACCCCCGGGTCCGTGGAGGGGGAGCATCGTCCTCTGGGGGTTTTGATGGAGGAAAATGAAATATAGGGGCTGGGAGAAAGATTTTTTTTAAGATGGGGAGGACGTGCCTCGAGGGATGGCGGATAAAAGCCAAGGCGGGAGCAGAGCCTGCGCCTCGTCCCAAGGTCGTCCCACGTTCAACCCCCCGAAATTTCTTCTCGTCGTGGTATCTCAAAATCCATCCCCTCTCGCAGTTTCTAAGTGGTTTTCCTCATTTTGCTGACTTTGCTCCCGCACCGCACCCAAGAACCCCCAAACCACGCCACCACCTCTCACGCTGGGAGAGGAAACCGCGTTGGGCAAGTCAAGTCTTATTTCCCCACCCCCCCCTCAAAAATCTCATTTTTATTTCTGCGTAAGCAACGCACAGCGATGGCATCAAACCCACAGTGGCGAGCAGCCCCCACCACGCGCTACTCTGGGACCAATTTTACCCCAATTTTCTTACACTTAATTGACCTCCTGCTCTTTCTGGTCCCCTTTGGCTTCACAACCAGCCCCATCCCATCACCTCCGCGCGGGCCCCCGGCACCACTACCGGCTTTTCCCCGCAAAGCTTTCTTTTCCCCTCCCCATTCCTCTTCCAAGAAATGTTTGGTTTTTTTTTCTATTTTGTTTTTATTTTTAGTTGAGGAAGAAAAAGTAAACAGCTGGTACCAAGAGGTACCAAGGCACCACACCCCGCTGACGCGGCGACGGGAGCGATAATAAACGCCCAAAGTGGCTCCTAAAACGCCCCAACTGGGGTATTTCTACCTGCTAGAAAATAAAATAAGCTCGCGACCATTCGTGTTTCTTCCTCCCGATGGAGAAACTGAGGCATGGGAAGGTGAAGTGAAGCCAAGAAAAAAAATAAAATAATCCCCCAAGATTTTAAGGGAAGTCGGGAACTGAATCTGGCTCCCAGCGGTCGTTTCTGCCTTTGCCTCAATCGCCGCCCTCTCTGCGAGGATTTGCTATTAATAGCTCCTGTTATCCTCGGCTGTAGCATAATCAAAACCACCCTCTATTTGTGAGCTCATCCAGCCGACTCTCCCTGAGGAATAACTTCCCAAGATTTGCAACTCAAGCCGTTGGAAAAGTCTTTGCAGAAAGAAAAAAAAAAAATAAATAAAAATTAATTTCTTCTCTCGCCGGAGCGGCGTCACGGGCGTCGCGCATCTCCCGGCCGGGCATCGCACCGCTCGGCAAATCGCAGGAAAACTTGTCTCTTCTCTGAGGGCAGGGGCTGCTCGGTCCAGCCCTCAGAAAAGTCATTTCCTGCGTCCGCTGGGACGTCTCAGACAAATTTCTGAGCAGAAGCGCCGAGCGGCACCGGCAGACGACGCCAAAGCGCGGGATGATGAACTTTCTAATCGCGGCACTCTTGGTTCTTCATTTCTTGCTGGGTAAATGCGTTTCTCTGCTTTTCGATTTCATTTTATCTTGGTGCTTAAGTGCTCGAGTTATTTCTACGCTTCTGGGATGCTGCACGGCACCCGGGGTGGGGTCTTGGAAGCTGAAAGGTCTTGGGGTGTTTACTTGGAGATGGGGGGTCGGTGGCAAAAGGAAAAAAAAACTAAAATACAAGGGAAAACATGATGCAGTTAGTAAGTTATAGTGAAGTGTGTGCTCGGAAGAGATAGTCTGTGCTCGGAGGATATAGTCTGTGCTCGGAGGATATAGTCTGTGCTTGCAGGACACAGCGTGTGCTTGGAGAAAAAATACTAATAATTAATGTTTTCCACACTGCATTGAAAATAATTCACAACATACAGCTGGGAGCTATTAAGAGAGACAGATATAGGCAAGGAGGGGAAAAAAAAACTAAAATACAAGGGAAAACATGATGCAGTTAAAAAAAAAAAAAAAAAAAAAAAAAAAAGTCAAACCCAACAGGATTTCCTGAAGTATTAGGTGGGCACTTTGGAGATGCAGGGAAACCGAAGTCAGGGCGATTGAGGGAGGAAAAACCACAGCACCAGCTGCGCCCGGGAGCGACGAGCAGCAGCTCGAGGTGGGAACCTGAAGGTAAACGGGGACGAGCACGGGTGCAAGCAAGGGAAGGTGAGACGGCTGCTGGCTGCAGAGCCCTCCTCCTCCTCCTCCTCCTCCTCCTCGCTGCGGGAACGAAATCCAGTGCAAAACCATGACGCGAGGGGTTAACCGTGCCTGCGGAGGGGGGATTTCCAGATGGAAGCTCTCTGCGGCCCTACCAGCACGGCTCCAGTGTAAATACAACTTGGAAGAACTTTCTCAGAAAGCTCCGTGCGTGGGACAAGGCGCCCCGGAGTTCACTCTGCCAGGGCCAAAAGGGCGGAGTGTGTTCGGAGGGCGAGCGTGGGAAGGTGCAGGGATGGGGGGGGAACACGGGTCTACGTCCCACCCCGCAGCTCCCCGCCTGGCTCTGAATTTCCCCAAAAGCTCGGGGTGGGGACAAGGAGGGGTCCAGGGGTTTTCCACAGCGAGGCTCAGCGATGGTCGAGGCCGTGCCAAGCTCAGGCTCCTTCCCCAGGGCTTTGATGCTGGAGCAGAAATTTTTAGGCTGGGTCAGTGTTTTCAGATCATTTCCTAACGAGGCGAGGTTTTTGGATCGGGGTTTCTCTCTCAGCCCGCTGCTGGCACCCAGAAACGTTAGGAAAAGGTGGGAAGGTTTCGAGGGGGGTACCCGGAACTACAGCTGGCCCCGGGCAGAAGATATTAATAGTACAACTCCTTAATTATGAGTATTAAAATATTAATGTCTTATTGTTATTATTGTAAGAGCATCTTATCGTATTATTACACGAGGATGCAAATATTAAAATATTAAACCTTCCCCATCAGTCTGCTTTCTATGGCCCCTGCCCAAACCCCCGAAAACTGAACCTTGAATTTGGAAAAGGGAAACGAGAGGCTTGGTACGACTTTGCCCACATTGTACGATTCAGAAATCTATTTATAGTGACTCAGCCCTAAGGAAACGTGCCTCTCGTTTCTGAGCCTTCGATTTGACAGCAAAAGGCACACGAGGAACAAAGCGGGCGGGTCGGTGGCGGAGGAGCGGCTCCAAACGCACAGCACAGAGCTGAGATTCACCCCAAAATAAACGTGGGGGGGGTGTGGGGGGATGCAGCGACCTCACCACCGCGCCTCCCCCTCCTGGCACGCCTGCACCCAAAATAAAGGGACGGAACCCACCTGGGACGAGCTCCGGTCCGGTTGCAGGGCGATACGTTGGGTTGCAAAGTCTCCGATTGAATCACGGGCCGGATTACGAAGCCGTTGCTCCCACCAGGGAGCAGCTTTTGCACCAAGCGCCGATAAATCGGTGAAACCACCCGCGCGGAACCGAATCCAACCAGCTCGACGCGAGTCTCCGCTTACGGCGCCCCCGATGACGAACTGTCCGTTTTCTCTTTCTTTTTAGGGAATGCCGAGATAGAAGAGGAGGAAGAGGAGATAACGGAGTTTTTATATGACTACGCATCTCGTTTCAGTGAGAAACTCTTTTTTTTTTTTTTTTTTTTTCTGATCATTTTATGAGAGCTGTGGGAGTAAGCTGGAATAACTGGGATGCTGGGAGGTCTCCATCCAGCCTCCTCCAGGCAGGGAGACGAGGCTTTGCCCACATAAACCAATGCAAAGGCACCGAGGAGCCACCGAACCGAGTCCCCTCCAATTACAAACAACCCCCACGGGACACTGAGCCCACCCCACCACCCTCTGCTGCCGCCGGCGCAGACCTTGGCGCCCTCGACCTTTTAATTTCAGCCAAAAGCTCGAGGCTGCCACGTGCAGCAGAAGGAAACTAAAGGGCTGTCGTGGCCCCAGGTCCTCGCGGCGCCGGAGCTTCCCAAAAATACCCGCAGGAAAACAGATCCGAGGTCTGGGGAGAGGCTGCTGCGGTGAAATAAGATGAAATATTGCTAAAATTCGAGGGGCTGGTTAGAGCTCAGGCAGGACACGCAGGGAAAGCAGCAGCAGTTTATTTATCCAAGTTACTCGGATGAATTTTGAATTATCTCGGTTATTCAGAGGGGAGGAGACGTGCAAGGACAACAACGACATGAGAGAAGGGTGGGACCCATCTCACCTAACGCTGGGTGGGGTGCACAGAGCACCCCCCCCGACCCCTGTTAGCGCCAGTGGAGAGAAGCTGGTACCCAGTAACTCCGCCAGCTTTAAAATGAGTCTCTGGAGATGCCCTCAGATCAAAACATTTGATATCCGAACCGCCTCGGGCACCTCCAGTGACACAAATGTGAATAACCCCCAGGAAATACATCCCCTGGCCACCACAGAGTAAGTGATGCTCGGACAAGGGTGGTCTCAACCATAAAACACGGAAAGTAGAATTTTTCCAATCCGAAACCACCTCTCCCTCAGCTAAGATGCCCCAAGAGCAGAGATAACCCCAGCAGCTGCTCCAGGGCAGAGATCCGCTACAATCCCTGCAGCAGTAACAGACCCCTGCACCCGCCAGCGCGCTGCCACCGCCGCTCACAAGCAAACTCAGCCCCCCAAAATCCAGTTTTCAACCCGCAGAATTGATGCTCGGTGGTGTTGTAAGGCCTTGAGGGGGTAAGATGCTTCCCTGGTTACACTTAAATATTAACACGGGCTCATCAGGACAATCCTTTCGTTCCAGGCGACTACTTATACGCAACAGTAGAGTATTACTCCGAGAACACCACGTTAATCCCGACCGTGTATTACTATGAGGTGAGTTGGGCTTTCCCTTCGTGATTCTGAAAAATTCCTTTGCCGAAAGCACCATCCCAGGAAGAAACAGAGGGATCTGAAATGTTGGTTTTAAAGAACTGAACAAATCACAAGGAGTTTGGGCATCCGATAGCCGTGGTTAGTTTGCCACGGATTTATTTTTGGCCGGTTTGCACAGGAGAAGCTCAGAGAAGGGGAAATTCTCAGTTTTCCTCATTAAATAATATCAAACTGTTGGGAAGTGTTAAAGTTGGGTTGATGGTTGGGCTGGATGATCTTCAAGGTCTTTTCCAACCTGGCCAAGTCAGTGGTTCTGTGAAACCTGTCCCAGTGAGGGATCCCTCGGGACAGAAATTCACCTGGTGCTGTGGTATCACAGGTTATTCCTTTTCCGTACGCTCACCCGAGCACTGTCGGAGCTCTGGGGAAGGGATTTGTAGAAGAGGAAGCCCCTGGCCCCCGGTTCCAGTGATGGACACAGGCAGGGATGGCGTTTCTCCCCCAAGGAGCAATCCCCAGGGAGAGTTGGGAAGGGCAGGGGAACTTGTCAGGGCACAAACTCTGCCTCTGGGTTTTAGCACAATCATAAAAATAAAAAAAAAGTGATTTTTGACTGATTTCTTTCCATCGACTTGCCAGGAGTTTCAGGAGTCGGTGGGATCGTCCCTCCAGTGCCACCTCCCCCTCGTCATCCTCCTCAGCCTCCTGGGTTTCCTGCTATGACCCCCCCTCCCCGGGCTCCTCCTCAGAAGGTACAAAAGCCCTGAAGGATTTAAGCACTCACTAAAAGCCTCTCTGTAAGCCACCAAAACTCAATTCTTTTTCACTTCGGCGCTTTGCAGCAACTTTACAAAAGAATTAAAAAAAAAAAAAAAAAAAAAAAAAGAAACCTTTCAGGCATCCAGCTGCGACAACCAAAGAAGCTTTAATTGTTACTAACGACCTGGAAAAGGCACTTTAGGGTATTTTGCCAGAGCTTCAACAGTGTGAACACCCCTTTGGTACCCCCTGGGCCAAAGCAGGTCTCAGCTCCAGGCACCTTCAACCACGCAAATCCCTTTTTTATTTTTTTATTTTTTTTTTCCTCCGGAGCCCGAAGCTCACTGACATCCCAGGTGCACACAAAATCCCCGTCCCGCAGCAAGCACCCTTGAAACACAATAGTAGGACGTGGCAACCGCTTCCTCACCTTTTCCCCTCGTTTCAGGCACGACGGCTTTGACAAGAAAAGAACATCGTCACCGCGTTGGAAACGACATCCTCCGAGCGAAAGCGGCCGCCTCCGTTTTTAGTACAGTTGTGACTTTGTGTACAAAGTTTTCAATAGATGGATCTTGCCATCCCGAGCCGTAAAAGCTGTGCAAACACTGAAGAGCTTTGTAATGGCTAGATTCTTTCCTATTTCCTATTATTCTGTTGTAAATATGAACTCCTGCCAATAAAATGACTTAACAATCAGCCTTCGGTCTCTAGCGTGAAGCCACCAACACCCTTCAGGAAAGCACGAGGAACACCCCGGCCCCATCCACCCCTGAGCTGGGCTCCTCCTGCCCTTAATTCCCACCCCATTTCTTCAGGAAAACCTCGGGGGGGCCACCACGTCCCATCTTCCCAAGCCACCACGTTAAATTTGGGGACGAACCTTCCACGCCGGCCACTAGCGGAACGGGAATAACAAATGCAAGGAACTTGTATTGATGCTTGTCCCGTCAAAGGGATCTTTCTAAGCAGCTAAACCCATAAAATACAAGCTAAGAGCTACCTAGAAAAAATCCCCTGATTAGGTTTTTCCAGAATTTCTCTTAATACTATTTATTTTCTAGAAACACCAGCAGTATCTGCAGTGCAGCAAGTTGGACAACAACAAAAAAAAGCCCCTCCAACCCCTCCTCACCAGCTCCCCACAAACCGTGCCAGAAATGAGGTTTTTTGGTTGAGAAATCAGTTTTTAAGGATGCTCTTGGGCCATCTGGGGGGGAAAAAAAGGCAAGCACCACACTCTGTGTGTCTACGCTGGGAAGAGTTTATGGGGAAGGATGGGCAGCGAACCCGATCCAGCCGCACCCAACGTGGTCTTGGAGCTCCCGCAAGTCAACGGGGGTTGAGTCAACCCACGGGGCAGAGCTCCCGGTGGTCACATCCTCGGGTCTGCAGAACTCCAAACTCGCCCGAGCACACCTTCAAAAACCCCGGCGAGAAACTCCTCAGTCTGTTGGGGCAAGGTACAGCCCAAACCCATCCACCTCCTCCACATCCACGGAGCCGCGGGGCCACGGCCAGTCCTGCCGCCTCCCACCCCGGCTTGTGGGGTCAACAACCTTGAAAAGTAGAAGTATTTTATTTTCTAGGGCAGCCAAGAGGCTCTGAAACAGGGCCAGGAACTGCTGAAGGGAGCGAGACCCGAATGTGCTGCCAGCCAGTGCCACCTCCTGGCTCCTCACCGCTATAAAAGTTGATGAAAACTGCTGAGCTTTGCCTAGGAAAGCTCCGGAAAAATGATGTCTGAACACACAGCGTTGGGATTTTCAACCCTGCAACGAAGAAAAAAAAAAAGAAAAATAAGAAAAAAAAAGAAAAATAAAACACGTGCATGAAGCTACTGACACCGAGAGAAAACCACAAACCAAAAGCACGAGGCAAATCCAACCACGCGGAGAAGTTATTAAATATATGAAGGCATAGAGAATAAACCCAGTTTACTGTAAAAACCCAGCTTAGTTTTATAGCTCACTTCAAGATCAGAAGGGCCAAAAACTACACTCAGTGTTTAGGATGAGGTATGTCCTGACCTAATTACAATGAACGATGTGCGGCTGGAAACGACCTCACTGCTTTCCCAAAGCTGGTATTATTCACCAAAATCTCTTTAATTTATAATTATTTTTTTTTTTCTTGCAACACTAAACGCACCTTGCCCCAAACATCAGGCCCTGCTGCCGGGCTCTGCTTTTCAGGTCCCACGGAGCTCTGACCGGGGGGAAAAAATTAGATTTTTTTATTACAGGATTTGCAGTCTTGCATCTGATACTGAGAGTGAGCAAACGCACTTGTATCCACGCAAATAACAAGAATTTTAAGGTCTTATTTTCATTTTTTTTCTGTAGAAAGGCACGCCTGTGTTTCTAATAGGAAAAGCAAGATCTCACCCGGGGTCATTTCCAGCCGTAAACCCGGGAGCTTTTCCTCCGTCGGCCGGGGCTGAAGCCATCCTCCCGCACTGCATCCGGATAATTTCCCAAATTGCTTTCCCAGATTTACCCCTTTTCCCACCGCCCGTGCGACGCTCCTCGGCTCTGCCAACGGCCGCCCAAGCTCTCCCAGCAAACCTCCACGGGATAAGCTGCTTTAACACAAAGCTGATTTTTCCCTCCGGTTTGGAAAACCTCTCCCAGTTGTCTTCGGGGGAGAAGCAAGCGGAAGGTCCCTCGAGGTCTCTGGTGTTTTCTAGCAGCACCTTCACAAACGTTTCGAGAAAGAAATCGGGCTGCGCCTTGTCTCAGCACGACGCCCGGGATCCGGATGCAAATCCCGGGGGAGCTGCAGCCCACGGGGGCTTGGTGAGAGCCCAGGGGAGTCCTGGAGCAGGCGCTGAGGCAGCTCTGCTCGCCCTCCGCTCGGGGAACTGCACTTTTCGGGATGCATTTAACATGGTGCAGCCTCAGAAGGGGCGTCCAGCCCCCGTGACCTCACAGATGCCACAAAATAAAAAAGGGGCTGAGGTGGCTTTAGGGTTTCAGGTGTCGGTGGTTCTGCAAAGCGCTCGCAGAGGAGCAGCCACAGGGTGTGGGGGGGTCACAGTGACCTGGTTTCACCCCCAAACCCACCAGTGGCCCACAGGAAAACGCCGACGACCACGGCGGAGCAGCTCGAAGCCGCCCTCCACGGGGCCAGCCCGGAGGTAACCGGCTCTGGGGTTTGCAACCGGGGTTTCAGAGCCACGTTAAGATGAGTTTGTGCAGATTTATACAATCGCTGACAAGGGCTGGGACTGGTCTCCTGCGTTTATTACCCCAAAGTTATTGTCCTCACTCAGCGTCCCGGTATTGAGACCAACCTGACGTCAGATCTCAAAGCCCCGACACGAGCGGCGGCACCGAGAGCACGAACCATTTCCACCAGTGTCACACAAGAGCACCTGGATCTGAAACAAACAACAAAAAAGGACATAATTCTCCTTTTATTCCTTAACTCTGCCATTTTCCTTCCATTTACTTCACGGCCTCTCGCATCAGCGGCTCCTGCAGCAAACGGGCACTGGATGAGGCGTAAGCTCAGCATCCTCAGACCAAACACACTAATTTTTTTTTCTGGCTAATCAGCAATGTTACAGATACTTTGGAGGTTCAGCTTTTACCCTGAAATGCTTTTTTTTTTTTTTTTTCCTGCTGCTGTCCAAAAGCAGACGCTAAATTCAAAATTAAATCCACCCCGACGCGGGCAACGGCAACACCAGGGGAACGCAGATTTGGTTTAAATCCCACAATATAGGTGAATCCTGCCTCAACTCCCCCAACAAACTTTTATTTCCAAATGGTTGTTTTTTTTCCAAGTGTCTGGTTTTAAGCACTTCGGTATCAGGAATCACCAATAAATTCCAGTTTTGGACAAAGCAATGCTCTGCCCTTTGTACCACCAGCAGCTTGCCCCCTTCCACAAACTCACGCCCAGGTTTCCTACATCAGCGGGTGAATTTATTCAAGACTCCCGAAAATAAAATCCCTTCCAGCCCAAATACAGCACCCGATTGGCAAGATTCAGCCTTTCTGACCCCATTTTTAACCCCTTCTCAAATAACCAGAGGAACAGACTGGCTGAACTCTCACTATTTGAGCCTGAAACAGGAAATATTTTCTCCGCTCAGTTTACACAAAGCAGAACAGACCAGCGGATTCCCATGTTGGGTTTTTGTTTGTTTGTTTGTTTTTTCTGCCACCGAGTTGCCAAAATGTCTCCAGCTACATGTGTCTCCAAGTTAAAAGAATCCACATATAAATATTTGGAATTAACTTGTCTAGGAGGGACTAACACTTCCAGTCTGGCAAAACCCTCCTGTCTGTACTCAGCACTAAGGATGTGAGAGGTTTATGGGCACGATTCAGCAGCTGCTGAATTCTGTATTTCCTGTATTTTAAAATACAGAAGTATTTTTTTAAGTAGCAAAAAAAAAATGTTTTCCGTGCTTCCAGATGTAAATAAACCATCTGTCTCCACCCGGAGGTGCCTGGAAATTGAAGAATCGTGGTCCCGCGTAGCCGTTTGCTGCCACATCTACCTTCCCCCAGACATCCTGCGCTGGCAAAGCCGCCTTCATCCGTATTAACAAAAATTAACGCAAATTAACAGCAACAACGGCAATTTCTCAGTCACGGGGGGCTGTGGGAAGCCCAGACCGAAATTTGGCCGGACCTAGCGGGTTTCGCTTTGGCGTCGCATCGTCCCCTGCTCGTTTCCCTGGTCGAGGTGTTTCCACATCCTTTATTTGTGGCTTTTTAAAAAAAAAAAAATTAAATTTTAACCACAAGGGCCTCTGCAGCCATCGCTACCGGGGCGGCTGACAAGTTTTACCGGGATCATCCCGCAAGGGTAGATGTGTATAAGAGA